GTCCAGGCAGTTATAAACCAACCAGTCCAGGCAGTTATAGTCCAACCAGTCCAGGCAGTTATAGACCAACCAGTGCAGGCAGTTATAGACCAACCAGTGCAGGCAGTTATAGACCAACCAGTGCAGGCAGTTATAGGCCAACCAGTCCAGGCCGTTATAGTCCAACCAGTGCAGGCAGTTATAGACCAACCAGTGCAGGCAGTTGTAGGCAGTTATAGACCAACCAGTGCAGGCAGTTATAGTCCAACCAGTGCAAGCAGTTATAGGCAGTTATAGACCAACCAGTCCAGGCAGTTATAGGCCAACCAATGCAGGCAGTTATAGACCAACTAGTCCAGGCAGTTATAGGCCAACCAGTGCAGGCAGTTATAGTCCAACCAGTCCAGAAAGTTATAGACCAACCAGAGCAGGCAGTTATAGACAGTTATAGACCAACCAGTGCCGGCAGTTATAGAACAACCAGTGCAGGCAGTTATAGACCAACTAGTCCAGGCAGTTATAGGCATTTATAGACCAACCAGTCCAGGCAGTTATAGACCAACCAGTCCAGACAGTTATAGGCCAACCAGTCCAGACAGTTATAGCCCAACCAGTCCAGATAGTTATAGACCAACCAGTGCAGGCAGTTACAGACCATCCAGTGCAGGCAGTTATAGACCAACCAGTGCAGGCAGTTATAGACCAACCAGTGCAGGCAGTTATAGACCAACCAGTCCAGGCAGTTATAGACCAACCAGTGCAGGCAGCTATAGACCAACCAGTGCAGGCAGTTATAGGCCAACCAGTGCAGGCAGTTATCGACCAACCTGTGCAGGCCGTTATAGACCAACCAGTGCTGGCAGTTATAGACCAACCAGTAGAGGCAGTTATAAGCCAACCAGTGCAGACAGTCATAGACCAACCAGTCCAGGCAGTTATAGGCAGTTATAGACCAACCAGTGCAGGCAGTTATAGACCAACCAGTCCAGGCAGTTATAGACCAACCAGTGCAGGCAGTTATAGACCAACCAGTCCAGACAGTTATAGACCAACCAGTCCAGGCAGTTATAGCCAGTTATAGCCCAACCAGTGCAGGCAGTTATAGGCCAACCAGTCCAGGCAGTTATAGGCCAACCAGTGCAGGCAGTTATAGACCAACCTGTCCAGGCAGTTATAGACCAACCAGTGCAGGCAGTTATAGACAACCAGTCCAGACAGTTATAGACCAACCAGTCCAGGCAGTTATAGGAAGTTATAGACCAACCAGTGCATGCAGTTATAGACCAACCAGTCCTGGCAGTTATAGACCAACCAGTGCAGGCAGTTATAGACAAACCAGTGCAGGCAGTTATAGGACAACCAGTCCAGGCAGTTATAGGCAGTTATAGACCAACCAGTGCAGGCAGTTATAGACCAACCAGTGCAGTTACTTATAGACCAACCAGTCCAGACAGTTATAGACCAACAAGTCCAGGCAGTTATAGACCAACCAGTCCAGACAGTTATAGACCAACCAGTGCAGTTAGTTATAGGCCAACCAGTGCAGGCAGTTATAGACCAACCAGTGCAGGCAGTTATAGACCAACCAGTGCAGGCAGTTATAGACCAACCAGTCCAGACAGTTATAGACCAACCATTCCAGAAAGTTATAGACCAACCAGTGCAGGCAGTTATAGACAACCGGTGCAGGAAGTTATAGACCAACCAGTGCAGGCAGTTATAGACCAACCAGTCCAGGAAGTTATAGACCAACCAGTGCAGACAGTTATAGACCAACCAGTGCAGGCAGTTATAGGTCAACCAGTGCAGGTAGTTATAGACCAACCAGTGCAGGCCGTTATAGACCAACCAGTGCAGGCAGTTATAGACCAACCAGTCCAGGCAGTTATAGACCAACCAGTGCAGGCAGTTATAGACCAACCAGTGCAGGCAGTTATAGACCAACCAGTGCAGGCAGTTATAGACCAACCAGTGCAGGCAGTTATAAACCAACCAGTCCAGGCAGTTATAGACAACCAGTGCAGGCAGTTATAGACCAACCAGTGCAGGCAGTTATAGACCAACCAGTGCAGGCAGTTATAGACCAACCAGTCCAGGCAGTTATAGGCCAACCAGTGCAGGCAGTTATAGACCAACCAGTGCAGGCCGTTATAGACCAACCAGTGCAGGCAGTTATAGACCAACCAGTCCAGGCAGTTATAGACCAACCAGTGCAGGCAGTTATAGGCCAACCAGTCCAGACAGTTATAGACCAACCAGTGCAGGCAGTTATAGGCAGTTATAGGCAGTTATAGACCAACCAGTCCAGGCAGTTATAGACCAACCAGTCCAGGCAGTTATAGACCAACCAGTGCAGGCAGTTATAGACCAACCAGTGCAGGCCGTTATAGACCAACCAGTGCAGGCAGTTATAGACCAACCAGTCCCGGCAGTTATAGACCAACCAGTGCAGGCAGTTATAGGCCAACCAGTCCAGACAGTTATAGACCAACCAGTGCAGGCAGTTATAGACCAACCAGTCCAGACAGTTATAGACCAACCAGTGCAGGCAGTTATAGGCAGTTATAGACCAACCAATCCAGGCAGTTATAGACCAACCAGTCCAGGCAGTTATAGACCAACCAGTTCAGACAGTTATAGACCAACCAGTGCAGGCAGTTATAGACCAACCAGTCCAGGCAGTTATAGACCAACCAGTGCAGGCAGTTATATACCGACCAGTCCAGGCAGTTATAGACCAACCAGTCCAGGCAGTTATAGACCAACCAGTGCAGGCAGTTATAGGCAGTTATAGACCAACCCGTGCAGGCAGTTATAGACCTATAGCTCTGACATCGCACTTGTGTAAAGTTATGGAAAGAATGATAACAGAAAGGCTGACGTACTATGTTGAAATGAGTCCTTATCGGAGTGGGTTTAGAAGAGGGCGGGGTACTTTAGATCCCCTGCTGTGCCTGGAGTCTGAAGTCAGGAAAGCCCAAGCGAATAAGGAGTGTGTTGTAGCTGTATTCTTTGATGTGGAAAAAGCTTACGATATGATGTGGAAGGAAGGATTTTTAATAAAACTGGACATTATGGGTCTGGGAGGTAACGTATATAATTGGATTATGTATTTTTTGTTTGGCCGTGCCATCAGAGTCCGAGTTGGCAATTCATATTCTTGAAGGCATGAAGTTGAGAATGGAACCCCGCAGGGGAGTGTCATCAGTCCTCTTTTGGTCTCTATCATGATAAATGATATATACAGACAAGTAGGATCTGATATTGGTAAGTCACTTTTTGCAAATGATGGAGCTATTTGGAAAAGGGGCAGAAATGTAAATTATATTGAAGTTAAGATTCAGGAAGCCATTACGGAAATTAAAAGCTGGTCTCGGACGGGGGGGTTTAGCTTGTCGGTGGAAATACTGAAACTTTATTTGTAACGAGGAAAAGGATAGGTGAGGAGGTTAGGTTAAAACTTTATGGACAAGAATTAAAGAAAGTGAAGACATTTAAGTTTCTGGGAATATGGTTGGACGAGAGAGTCACATGGAGTACTCACATTGATAAAGTAGTAGATAAATGTAAAAAGGTTTTAAATGAGGTGCTTGGCAGGCACTGAGGAACGTACACACAGCCTTAATTAGATCAGTCATAGAATACGGACTAATAGTGTATGGTTCAGCTGCATACTCTTCTCTGCACAAATTAGATCAGTCCAGGCACAAGCACTAAGGATATGCTGTGGGGGGGGCAGATCTACACCAGGGTCGGCACTTCAGGTAGAGGTCGGAGAAATACCCATTTCTTTGAGGAGAAAACAGTTAACTGTTCATTACTGGGCAAATCTTCAGGGCCATAAAGATACTCACCCTACTAAACAAACTGTACAAACAAGTTGGGAAAGTAACAACATTAAAAAAGAAAGTTTTTGTGTTTGTGTTTCAGAATGATGTAAGGAATTCAAAGTTAAAGAATGGAATATTAGTCCGACGGTGTTGTTATCAGCTGTTCCACTATGGTTGCTGCCTCAACCTGTAGTAGATGTATCCTGATTGAAACGGTTACATTCAATGAGAAGTCAAATCAATGTGCAGGCTGACGTGAACACTGTTCTCCATGAACAGGGCAGTTTATACACATATTTACTGATGGATCCAAAAATCCAGAAAATAGTCAAACTAGTTGTGCATTTTATGTTCCTGAGTTAAAGGTCAAAGTGGGAAAGCGAGCGAGTGATCGCATGGCAGTATATAGAGATGATGGCTATCTCTCTAGCACCTCAGTGGGTAGAGGAAGTGTATCAATGCGAGTGGTCGATTGCTCTGACTCCAGCTCTGGAGAGTAAACAACTTCTCTTCAGTATGTTATCAGGATATTCTGCATGATATTTTACACATCATGTTTAGGTTAGTTCATTTGGGAATTGTTGTTCAATTTGTGTGGGTTCCAGCGCATGTGGGTATTAGAGGGAATGAAGCAGGGGATCAACTGGCAACAAATGGATTGAAAGCAAAGCAGATTGATATTATGGTACCATCAGTAGAGCAGAAGTCAAATCTGTTACAAAAGTTATTATCAAGCAACAATGGCAAAAACTATGGGACAGTAACACCAAAGGAAGACATGCCAGATACAAAGGGAGGTGGGAACGGGAAGCACTTGGGGGAGTAGTAGAAGAGAACAGAGCATTAACAGCAGGAGAGCATCGGGTCACTCTGGATTAAACTCATCACTGCATCTGATTGGAAAACATCCAAATGGCAATTGTGATGGTTGCCAACAACCAGAGACAATACATCATGTGTTTTTTAGCTGCCCGGATTATAACAGGCAAAGACTCATTCTGAAAACTGCACTGGAACAACATAACTTCAAGGACATGGATTTCAAGTCAATATACGAAAGTAAATCAAGAAATGAAGTAAACAAGCAGATCTTCAAGTTCCTCAAAAACACTGGTCTGAGGACAAGGATTTAATATGAACATTTAATAAATCAACAGTAGGTGGCGATATATGCTCCAAGTGGAAGCGATTCGCCATTAAAGCAAAAGGAAGAAGTAGAACAGCAAGGGGCGGAAACCCGCAGAAACGAGCCGCGACACACCTCAAACCACCGAAGAAGAAGCGCGTCACCGTGAGCAGGCTAACAGCTGTTAGCAGGAGTTAGCAGGTGAGACACGAGAGGAATAACTCTATTTGTATTGTTATATTTCTCGGTATGATTTAATACATTGATGTGTGACGTAGCAGACGTTTCAGAGCATGCCTACAGGAAGTGCGTGTTGGCTCAGCTGTTAGCAGTTAGCTTAGCAGCAGGCTGAGTGTTAGCTCTGCTGTTAGCAGTTAGCTTAGCAGCAGGCTGAGTATTAGCTCTGCTGATAGCAGTTAGCTTAGCAGCAGGCTGAGTGTTAGCTCTGCTGTTAGCAGTTAGCTTAGCAGCAGGCTGAGTATTAGCTCTGCTGATAGCAGTTAGCTTAGCAGCAGGCTGAGTGTTTGCTCTGTTATAATGTATAACATTCTGTGTCTTTAATGAGATCAGATATGATATCTGAGCTCATTAAAGACACAGAAAGAAATATAAATAATATATGTGGTGCAGTGGGGAGAGCGTTGGTGTTGGGATCAGGGGAGCTCAGGTTCAAACCCCACTGCAGTCAGCATGTCGTTGTGTCCCTGAGACGCTTCCCCCCAGAGTGCTCCTGAGGGGATTGCCCTCAATACTGAATATGTGAGTCGCTTTGGATAAAAGCGACTAACAAGTGATGTAATATATAAAACATCTGATGAATCAGTCAGAACACCTTCGTCCCACAGATGGGAACCCTATGTAACCCTATATAGCCCTATGTAACCCTATATAGCCCTATGTAACCCTATATAGCCCTATGTAACCCTATATAGCGCTATGTAACCCTATGTAACCCTATATAGCCCTATGTAACCCTATATAGCCCTATGTAACCCTATGTAACCCTATATAGCCCTATGTAACCCTATATAACCCTATATAGCCCTATGTAACCCTATGTAACCCTATATAGCCCTATATAGCCCTATGTAACCCTATATAGCCCTATATAACCCTATATAGCCCTATGTAACCCTATATAGCCCTATGTAACCCTATGTAACCCTATATAACCCTATATAGCCCTATGTAACCCCTATATAACCCTATGTAACCCTATATAGGCCTATGTAACCCTATATAGCCCTATATAGCCCTATGTAACCCTATATAGCCCTATGTAACCCTATGTAACCCTATATAACCCTATATAACCCTATATAGCCCTATGTAACCCTATGTAACCCTATATAGCCCTATGTAACCCTATATAGCCCTATGTAACCCTATATAACCCTATATAGCCCTATGTAACCCTATGTAACCCTATATAACCCTATATAGCCCTATGTAACCCTATATAACCCTATATAGCCCTATATAACCCTATGTAACCCTATATAGCCCTATGTAACCCTATATAGCCCTATATAACCCTATATAGCCCTATGTAACCCTATATAGCCCTATGTAACCCTATGTAACCCCTATATAGCCCTATGTAACCCTATATAGCCCTATGTAACCCTATATAGCCCTATGTAACCCTATATAGCCCTATGTAACCCTATATAGCCCTATATAGCCCTATGTAACCCTATATAACCCTATGTAACCCTATATAGCCCTATGTAACCCTATATAACCCTATATAGCCCTATATAACCCTATATAACCCTATGTAACCCTATATAGCCCTATATAGTAGGGATGTGCATCTCCATCACTGAGGCCGATACGATGCGCATCTCGATACGTTGCCACGATACGATACATTAACGATACATTTGAAACACCATGCGATACGATACGATTCACCCCTGTTGCGATACAGTTCGATACGATTTGATTCAACATTATGCGATTCGGTGCGATGCGATGCGATTCAACACGATGCAAAAATAATGATACTTCAATATGGTACGACAGAGGATTTTTGTTTTATTCCTTATATGCAGCAAATCATACATTAACAAAAAAGTGCTTTACATATTTGGTACTGCACATCCCATCATGCCGTTTATTTTTTACCTTTAAAAGCTCTCCAGAGTACAATTGTATAACACCTCACAGTTAAACAATGTAAGGATGCATTGCTCATGATTAACAATGTGCAAATAACAGCTACCATAGTGCAATGCCCATACAGCTGCCAGCCTGATGTGCTTAACACTCATTCATAGGCTAACTCACCAGTGAGCAGAAAGCGGTGGGTTCTATATGAACAATAAATAATACAAAGAACCTTTCACAAACAGGTATTTCATAACTGCTTACAGTAAGGAAGACATTTAAACTATTATTGGCCGTCACAGGCTGCTGTAAACTAAACACCACTCTCTCTGACAGAACACCTCACTGAGTGATTTAACTCATATGTCTAACTTTCAGGTTTCTCTTTTCAGCCGCAGACCCCATGTCGCCTCTTTATGTGCGTCGCTAAGTTCCTCGTACTACTTGTGTACTTTAAAGCGGCTCGGCATCGTTAACCATTTGCGAGCGATTTTTCAAGTTGACCGTCTGTGCCGCGCACATATACCATCAGGACGTTACTGATGGGGTTTCGGCTGCGGAGTGATACTGTGTGTATGCAAGCCCGCATCTAGGACGGATCTATGTATCATGGCTGTAGACCTGTTAAGTAATAAAGATACCTCATACAAAGGTCTACGGATACCTTATTACTCTCCATGACCTGCGGTCAACTATATAGCATAAAGGACTATTACACCGTCTTTCTTGAACAATCCGAAGTGTTGCCAAACGTTTGATTTGTAGGTATTTTTCGGTGCGCTGTGTTTCTCTTTCTCCTCGACTTCCGTGTGTGTTGATAACTGAGACTCTCGGCCTCCGTAGTGGCGAAGATATCAAAGATCGTATCTGCTGAGCGTTGACAAGATTAGGGGATTTTATATGAATGAATCGGTTTTTTACCGATGCAAAGACGCTACGCAATCGATGCATCGCGAGTTCAACCCGGTTCAACCCAAACTGTAGCCGATGTGCACTCTTTCAACCGGTGCACTCGCATCTTGAACGTTTATGCCGGTGCACCAATGCGAATCGGTGAATCTTAACATCTCTACTATATAGGTGACGCTCCCACCTGTGGGACGAAGGTGTTCTGACTCTTAACTGTCTATGAAACCTGCTACTGCTAACTGCTAATGCTAACTGTTATTGCTAACTGTTGCAGAGCTCCACCATGAACAGAGGAGCAGCTGCACCCAGAGAGGAGGAGGAGGAGGAGGAAGGTTTCTACGACTGCCAGGAGACTCTGGAGCCTTCAGAGAGGAGAAGAGGAGAGGAGCAGACAGACAGGCTGCAGGAGGAGAAGGAGGAGCAGACAGACAAGCTGCAGGAGGAGAAGGAGGAGCAGACAGACAAGCTGCAGGAGGAGAAGGAGGAGCAGACGGACAAGCTGCAGGAGGAGGAGACAGACAGGCTACAGACAGACAGGCTGCAGGAGGAGGAGACAGACAGGCTACAGACAGACAGGCTGCAGGAGGAGCAGACAGACAGGCTGCAGGAGGAGGAGACAGACAGGCTGCAGGAGGAGCAGACAGACAGGCTGCAGGAGGAGGAGACAGACAGGCTGCAGGAGGAGCAGACAGACAGGCTGCAGGAGGAGCAGACAGACAGGCTGCAGGAGGAGGAGACAGACAGGCTGCAGGAGGAGCAGACAGACAGGCTGCAGGAGGAGCAGACAGACAGGCTGCAGGAGGAGCAGACAGACAGGCTGCAGGAGGAGCAGACAGACAGGCTGCAGACAGACAGGCTGCAGGAGGAGCAGACAGACAGGCTGCAGGAGGAGCAGACAGACAGACTGCAGGAGGAGCAGACAGACAGGCTGCAGACAGACAGGCTGCAGGAGGAGCAGACAGACAGACTGCAGGAGGAGCAGACAGACAGACTGCAGGAGGAGCAGACAGACAGGCTGCAGACAGACAGGCTGCAGGAGGAGCAGACAGACGGGCTGCAGGAGGAGGAGTTGGAGTTTGATGATGAGTCCCTGAGGGAGGAAGAGCAGCAGCTGACGGAGGAGCAGAGAGAGGTTTGTTTACTTTGTTTACTCTGTAAATTTGTTTACTCTGTAACTTTGTTTACTCTGTAACTTTGTTTACTCTGTAACTTTGTTTACTCTGGGATAAAAACAGTGTTCTGTTTCAGAGCCGTCGGCAGGAGAGCTTCAGTCTGAAGGAGGCCGGAAACACACACTTCAAAGCCGGAGGTACGGGAGACATCACCAGTACATCACCAGAGTACCAGTATATCACCAGAGTACCAGTACATCACCAGAGTACCAGTATATCACCAGAGTACCAGTACATCACCAGAGTACCAGTATATCACCAGAGTACCAGTACATCACCAGAGTACCAGTATATCACCAGAGTACCAGTATATCACCAGAGTACCAGTACATCACCAGAGTACCAGTATATCACCAGAGTACCAGTATATCACCAGAGTACCAGTATATCACCAGAGTACCAGTACATCACCAGAGTACCAGTATATCACCAGAGTACCAGTATATCACCAGAGTACCAGTACATCACAGAGTACCAGTATATCACCAGAGTACCAGTACATCACCAGAGTACCAGTATATCACCAGAGTACCAGTATATCACCAGAGTACCAGTACATCACCAGAGTACCAGTATATCACCAGAGTACCAGTATATCACCAGAGTACCAGTATATCACCAGAGTACCAGTACATCACCAGAGTACCAGTATATCACCAGAGTACCAGTATATCACCAGAGTACCAGTATCACCAGAGTACCAGTATATCACCAGAGTACCAGTATATCACCAGAGTACCAGTATATCACCAGAGTACCAGTACATCACCAGAGTACCAGAGTACCAGTATATCACCAGAGTACCAGTACATCACCAGAGTAAGTACTAACCAGAGTACCAGTACATCACCAGAGTACCAGTATATCACCAGAGTACCAGTACATCACCAGAGTACCAGTATATCACCAGAGTACCAGTATATCACCAGAGTACCAGTACCAGAGTCGTATCACCAGAGTTACCAGTATATCACCAGAGTAAGTACATTCACCAGAGTACCAGTGTATCACCAGAGTACCAGTGTATCACACAGGAGTACCAGTGTATCACCAGAGTACCAGTGTATCACCAGAGTACCAGTATATCACCAGAGTACCAGTATATCACCAGAGTACCAGTACATCACCAGAGTACCAGTATATCACCAGAGTTACCAGTGTATCATCCAGAGTACCAGTGTATCACCAGAGTACCAGTGTATCACCCAGAGTACCAGTATATCACCAGAGTACCAGTATATCACCAGAGAGTACCAGTACATCCCAGAGTACCAGTACATCACCAGAGTACCAGTATATCACCAGAGTACCAGTATATCACCAGAGTACCAGTCACATCACCAGAGTACCAGTATATCACCAGAGTACCAGTGTATCACCAGAGTACCAGTATATCACCAGAGTACCAGTATATCACCAGAGTACCAGTGTATCACCAGAGTACCAGTATATCACCAGTATATCACCAGAGTACCAGTGTATCACCAGAGTACCAGTATATCACCAGAGTACCAGTACATCACCAGAGTACCAGTATATCACCAGAGTACCAGTACATCACCAGAGTACCAGTGTATCACCAGAGTACCAGTGTATCACCAGAGTACCAGTGTATCACCAGAGTACCAGTATATCACCAGAGTACCAGTATATCACCAGAGTACCAGTGTATCACCAGAGTACCAGTATATCACCAGTATATCACCAGAGTACCAGTATATCACCAGTACATCACCAGAGTACCAGTGTATCACCAGAGTACCAGTATATCACCAGAGTACCAGTATATCACCAGAGTACCAGTGTATCACCAGAGTACCAGTGTATCACCAGAGTACCAGTATATCACCAGAGTACCAGTATATCACCAGAGTACCAGTATATCACCAGTATATCACCAGAGTACCAGTACATCACCAGAGTACCAGTACATCACCAGAGTACCAGTATATCACCAGAGTACCAGTACATCACCAGAGTACCAGTACATCACCAGAGTACCAGTATATCACCAGAGTACCAGTATATCACCAGAGTACCAGTATATCACCAGAGTACCAGTGTATCACCAGAGTACCAGTGTATCACCAGAGTACCAGTATATCACCAGAGTACCAGTACATCACCAGAGTACCAGTATATCACCAGAGTACCAGTATATCACCAGAGTACCAGTATATCACCAGAGTACCAGTATATCACCAGAGTACCAGTATATCACCAGAGTACCAGTACATCACCAGAGTACCAGTACATCACCAGAGTACCAGTACATCACCAGAGTACCAGTACATCACCAGAGTACCAGTATATCACCAGAGTACCAGTACATCACCAGAGTACCAGTACATCACCAGAGTACCAGTATATCACCAGAGTACCAGTATATCACCAGAGTACCAGTATATCACCAGAGTACCAGTATATCACCAGAGTACCAGTATATCACCAGAGTACCAGTATATCACCAGAGTACCAGTACATCACCAGAGTACCAGTACATCACCAGAGTACCAGTATAGAGTACCAGTGTATCACCAGAGTACCAGTGTATCACCGGAGTACCAGTATATCACCGGAGTACCAGTACATCACCAGAGTACCAGTACATCACCAGAGTACCAGTATATCACCAGAGTACCAGTATATCACCAGAGTACCAGTATATCACCAGAGTACCAGTATATCACCAGAGTACCAGTATATCACCAGAGTACCAGTACATCACCAGAGTACCAGTATATCACCAGTGTACCAGTGTATCACCAGAGTACCAGTACATCACCAGAGTACCAGTGTATCACCAGAGTACCAGTATATCACCAGTACATCACCAGAGTACCAGTATATCACCAGAGTACCAGTATATCACCAGAGTACCAGTATATCACCAGAGTACCAGTATATCACCAGAGTACCAGTATATCACCAGTGTACCAGTGTATCACCAGAGTACCAGTACATCACCAGAGTACCAGTGTATCACCAGAGTACCAGTATATCACCAGAGTACCAGTATATCACCAGAGTACCAGTATATCACCAGTATATCACCAGTATATCACCAGTACATCACCAGAGTACCAGTATATCACCAGAGTACCAGTATATCACCAGAGTACCAGTATATCACCAGAGTACCAGTATATCACCAGTATATCACCAGTATATCACCAGTATATCACCAGAGTACCAGTACATCACCAGTATATCACCAGAGTACCAGTATATCACCAGAGTACCAGTATATCACCAGAGTACCAGTATATCACCAGTATATCACCAGTACATCACCAGTATATCACCAGTATATCACCAGAGTACCAGTACATCACCAGTATATCACCAGAGTACCAGTATATCACCAGAGTACCAGTATATCACCAGTATATCACCAGTATATCACCAGTATATCACCAGTACATCACCAGAGTACCAGTATATAAACCAGAGTACCAGTATATCACCAGAGTACCAGTACATCACCAGTATATCACCAGAGTACCAGTACATCACCAGTATATCACCAGAGTACCAGTATATCACCAGAGTACCAGTATATCACCAGAGTACCAGTATATCACCAGAGTACCAGTGTATCACCAGTATATAAACCAGAGTACCAGTATATCACCAGAGTACCAGTTAGGGCTGAACGATATACCGTGTCATGGCGATAACCGCGGTATGCGCATGCGCGGTATTCACACCGCAGGGACGTGCGGTTTTATTCATTTAAAAAAAAAATGCTAACGCACTTTAGCACATAATTCAAAATAAAGATACCCTTATTACTTATCGAAACTGCACATACAATATATCCGATTAAAATTGAGACTCCACAGATTATTTAAGTATAGTATCTAAGCGATCCGATCTCGCAACAAGGGAAGCAAACACAGACATCACAACACGTACCTTTACGGAGCTTTTACGGGAGATCGTCTCACCGGAGCTGTCAATCTGATCAAAAGACGTGTTCAATGGCATTAAAACGAGAAAGAAAAAACGCGGCTGAATCGGTTGATCCATAGGTTGATAATGTATCTGTGGCTTTGAAGCAATTGTTTATAATCCATAATTCCATTTTTATGTAAAAATCGGAGCACAAAAGTTAGCTGCTAATGGTAGCCACCAGAGTGTATGCAGCTTCCGGTTTTGGCTACTCTCACTCCTTATTTGTTCATGTGTGTGTAGAACTTCCCCTGCATGCACAGCAAACCACCAATCACAATCATTCTTGATCAGATCACAGCAGGCCCCGCCCCGCTAGTTTGCAGACCATCAAAAACACTGGTAAAAAATGAGCGAGGCACAGGAGGACAATACCGGAGAGAATGAAGATTTACTTCCAAGAAGAAAAGCAACATCTGCCATCTGGAACTATTTTGGCCTATGGAAAATCCTATGGATTAACCGATTCAGCCGCGTTTTTTCTTTCTCATTTTAATGCCATTGAACACGTCTTTTGATCAGATTGACAGCTACGGTGAGACATCTCCCCTCGAAGCTACGTAAAGGTACGTGTTGTGATTGCGAGTTCAGATCGCTCAGTGATGATACTATATACCTAAATAATCTGTGGAACCTCAGCTTTAATCGGATATCTTGTAAGTGCAGCTACGATAAGTAATAAGGGTACTTTTATCTTGAGTTCTGTGCCAAAGTGCGTTAGCATTTTTCGCTCAGGGGTCATTTAGATGCTTCTTATGAGACTTGTGTTTTGTTTTGGTATAAAATGGTTTGTATCGTCAGTTAGCTGAGATTATTTCCGTTAATCTGGTAGAACACATTAATAGGTTCTTAAATATTACGATCCCCTGAGACACTGTCGTGAAAAAAAAAGTAAAGTACCCGCCGGGACTTTGGGGTTTAATAGGTTAAAAAACCCGCAATATATACCGCAGAGGGGGGGGAAAACCGCAATGTCAGTTTTTTTCAATACCGTGCAGCCCTAGTACCAGTACATCACCAGTATATCACCAGAGTACCAGTATATCACCAGAGTACCAGTGTATCACCAGTATATAAACCAGAGTACCAGTATATCACCAGTATATCACCAGAGTACCAGTACATCACCAGTATATCACCAGAGTACCAGTATATCACCAGAGTACCAGTGTATCACCAGTAT